AAGGAAGGTTGGGCAATCCTACTTCCATAGTGATACTGCCTCAGAAACCCAAGGAGGGGTTGCTATGAGTCGGGGCCGACTCGACGGCAAACAACAACAACAACACAACCACCATGGGCTTTGCTACCTTTCCCAGCCACCCCTCAATCTCTGTTCCAACAATCTTCTTTTTGTGAATGTTGTGGTTGTCTAGCAGCCTTGTGAGGACAGAAGCCTCTAAATCAGCTTTTAAAACAGTCCTTAACTTTCCCACCCAGAGATGCCTCGAACGTAAGCCTGGCAATCTGTTTCCACAAGTTCGTATCCTTGAAAATCCTACAGAGTACAGTTGTACTCTGCAAACATTGGGCTGCCATGAGTAGGAATTGACTCCATAGCAACTAACAACAACTTTCCCCAACTAAAGATGGCAGATGGTGCTGCACCAGCTCCATCCACTGTATCCATACTCTTGCCAGTACTAATTGTAGAAGCAGTGGTAGTCCACTTCATATCATGAGAAGGGGAAGAGTCAGGAAGCTCACAGACATGCATGTGTGTGTCAGTGTGCACATGCATACACATGCATGTGAGTGAGCTTCCTCCTGACTCACTTCGTAGGCCAGTACTTCTCAGTCCTGAGAGACACAATACTCCCCCTCTTTTTTACAGCAAATATCTTGTATTATCCTCTCTATTCCTATGTTGTATCTCAGGGAAACTACAGAGGCATTTATAATTTCACACTGCAGCTCTCTCATTTTAGAGAAATAAAATTAGGTGTCATTTGAAAATAAATTATATAATTATGCCACTTTCTTATATCTAACTACTAGTACTGTACCAGAAATAAATATTAACATACATTTAGTAAGCCACAAAATTATTACAGGACTCAGCAGACATGGAGTCATATTCACTTTCCTTTGAGTTTCTCTTTATTACTACTTGCTTTGAGAGCTTGAAACTTATACGCTCTAATTCTATTTTTCACTCAAAGGTTTATTGATCTTCAAAGGATGAAATGAGATGAAACTAATAGCTAGCATTTAATAAGCACTTATTATGTGCTAAGACACCATGAATCAGGATCAACTTGAGTGCAACTAACAACAGCATGTGCTAAGTGGAGTCAATGTGTGGTAAGAATGGTTAAGCACTACTGACTGAAAGTTTGGCAGTTCAAATCCACTCCGAGGTACCTCAGAAGAAAAGCCTGGTGACCTACTTCCTAATGATCACAGCCATTGAAAATCATATGCAGCATAGTTCTATTGTAAAACAAATGGAGTTGCCATGAATCAGGATTGACTCAATAGTATATGGATGTGCTAAGTACACATGACTCCAAGTACTTCACATGCTTAACTTCATTTGAACCTCACAGCAACATTATGAACTAGTCATTGAAAAAGTTTCTGTTTGATGAATGGGGGAACTGAGGCTCAGGAGAGATTAAGGAAATTGTCTGATATCCACAATAAGTTGTGGAGCCAGGATTAGTGTCTGACTCTGGAGTCTTCATTGTTAACCATTACACTGTGATGCAAAGTATGTGGTAACTGCTAAGAAAAAAAAATTAGCTATTATTTTTAATAAAGCTATTTTCATATTTCCTCTTCCCATCTCACTAAATATCTCACCTTTGAAAATGGGAAATACATATGATTTAGCTCATTTTCAGCCCTAATTGTGCTTGTTATATATGTTTTCTTTCATTCAAGGATATGGTGACCCAGGCATCTCCATACTTGTTTGAAGCTACAGAAAATAGATTTTATTTCAAAAATGTTGCCATTTTGATTCCTGAAAATTGGAAGGCAAAACCTGAGTATGTGAGACCAAAACTCGAGACCTACAAAAATGTGAGACTATTAAGTTCTTTTTGCAAATTCAACTTTCTCCTATAATTCAAATTTTTAAATAAAAATATTCTAGAATCAAATGAAATTATTTGAAAATACTCCAATATGAATAAAGTCAGTTCATCTACTGATATTTTGTAATATTGAAAGTTTTTTTTTCTTTAATTTCAGGCTGATGTTTTAGTTGCTGAATCAAATCCTCCAGGTAATGATGAACCCTATACTGAGCAGATAGGAAACTGTGGAGAAAAGGGCGAAAGGATTTACTTCACTCCTGACTTCTTAGCAGGAAAAAAGTTGCTTGAGTATGGGCCACAAGGTATGCATACAGATGAAATAGTCTACTATACTTCTCATAATTTAGGAATTTTTTTGTTTAAAGTGGTCAACGGTAGCATTATTCTTATGTAAGTATATATAACCCAACTAGAATATTTTTTATGCCGTATCATATTTTTATAGTATCAGGTAACTGTAAAATAATTTAATACAGATATATCATCATTTAATTGTAAGATGAATGTGATTATACTATTGAAATGCAGAATAACAAAAAGTCAAATTCTATGTGTCAAAACTTCATTGCATTCCACATTTTGAGATAAAGGATACTACTATGCCAGCAAAAGCAGTTATTTTAAGCCTATTATCCTTACTGCTTTCTAAAACACGTTTTGTTCTGTAAGATATGACACAAATAAGAAAAAATATTTTCTTTTATATTGAGGGATATTTCAGCACCATGTATATGTTTTAATTTCCTCATTCTTTTAAAAGGTTTATTGAGCACTGCAATTATCTTGGGTTCTATATCTTCCAAACTCATTTTTTAAAAATTGAGCACTTTCTCAATGCCAGCTAGACACTGAGGATATAAAGATAGATAAGATACAGGCTTTGGTCTTAAAGAGCTTACAATTTAGTGGGGGAGTTAGTCAAATAAATGGATAGAGAGAAAATTGAATTAGGCTTGTTTGGAGGTGACTACCCTGAATGAATTGAACCTTCTGCCTGCAATTCAGGTGGCAGCCACCAGATGGGGAAGATGCATAGCATTTTCAGACTTTTATGAACATTCAAACTATAAATCTTGACAAAATGCAGATTCTGAGTCAGTAAGTAGGTTTGGAATGGGGCTCAGGAATCGTGTGGAACAGCAAGACCAGAGTGGTGCAGGGCCCAAATCATGCCGTTTTAAGGAGTTGAGCTTCACCCTAAGCACCACAGGGAAACCATTGAAGACTGGAGACTTAGAGGACTATTGTGTAGCTATTGCAGTAATTCAGAATTAAGATGGGGATAGTCTAAGTAAATGGCAATGGTACTAGTAAAATAATGATGGATCAAAGAAAAAAGTCACAAGTGGAATAGGCAAACCTTGAGGCTTGATTAGATGAGCCATGAGGGCGAAGAATCTTTTAAGGATGCTGCCCTGGCTGCTCTGTGAATGCCCCTGGCTCCCACAGCAGCCTGCACTGACTGACCTCCAAAATTGCAGTTGCACAGCCAGGCTTTGTAGTTACCCTATCGTGTGTGTCAGTCTCTAGACCATGAGGTACATGAGGACAGAGCAGTTGTTTCATCTTTGTCTGGCACCTACTAGGTGCTCACTTAATACTTGGTGAGCCAAAACAAGCATTTATGCTTTATAGAAACTTATAGTTTTCATATTAGATTTTCTTTCCTAAGGAAATAAAACTTTTAATTTTTTAAATGAACATATAAAAGTATAATAAGTGTTCAGAAAAATTGTCTCCTCCCCATGGAAGATGATTTTGCTATTGTTATTGTAATCAGAAGGAGGCCTGGTTGCACAATGATTAAGCACCTAGTTGCTAATGAAAGTTCAGCAGTCTGTCCTTGGGAGAAAGAAGTAGCAGCCTGCTTCCCTAAAGATTCCAAAAAACAAACTAAACCCACTGCCATCAAGTTGATGCCAACTGCTAGTAATCCTACAGGACAGAGTAGAACTGCTCCATGAGATTTCCAAGGCTGTAAATCTGTATAGAAGCAGACTGCCTCATCTTTCTTCCACGGAGCAGCTCATTGGTTTGAACCACCAACCTTTTGATTAGCAGTCCAATGCCTTAACCACAGTGCCACCAGACCTTCTTCTCCCTAAAGATTACAACCTAGGAAACCCTATGCGGCATCTCCTCTGCCCTATAGGGTCACTATGAGTCAGAATCAACTCAATAGCGATGGGTTTTTGGATTATAATCAGATGTTTAGGAGCTCTGGTAGCATAGTGGCTAAGACAGTTGCCTGCTAACCAGACGGCTGGCGGTTCAAACCCACTAGCCACTCCTCGGAAGGAAGGTTGGGCAATCCTACTTCCGTAGTGATATTGCCTTGGAAACCCAAGGAGGGGTCGCTATGAGTCAGGTATGACTCCACGGCACATAACAACAACAACAATCAGATGTTTAAAATATTTTCTCACAGGTAGAGCATTTGTCCATGAATGGGCTCATCTACGATGGGGACTATTTAATGAGTACAATAATGACCAGAAATTCTACTTATCCAATGGAAAAAACAAAGCAGTAATGTATGTATATTTTGACTTAACTTTTCCAAAACTATTTTAAATTGTAACCAATTATTTCTTAATTACTTTTAAAACTACCCGTCTTCTATCTTATTTTCTATCTCTAGTTATTTTCTCTAGGGCCTTTTCTTTAATGTAACAAGTATAAGAAACCCTCAGTTTATATGTTTAGTGTCTCCTAGCTACCTAAAATTAGGTACTTAAAATTAAAACCAGAATGAGGGACATAATCAGAGCTAATTGGACTTCTTCAATGTCTTGAGGGCAGAATGGTATCTGTGTGGACTTTTTAGTATGAGTGGATCTGTAAAAACTGTGGAATTCGAAAAACAAGTCAAATATTAAAGCAATATATATAAAACAAAACAAAAAATTTCTCACAGTTTGAATTAAACTCAGTGTTTCATCAGTAGAAATCAAAATGGATACTGTTTTGGGGCCTCATGGTTTCATGGGAGATTCTTGCAATAGTTTCAATGTATACTAATTCAGTACAAATACTAAAAGTTGAGAACTTCTTGATTTATTTTTAAAAACAAGCATAATTCAGATACTAAAACCTGACAGAGGCATAATTCTGTGGACAGAGCTTACTAGAAAGGTAGAAGCAAAAAAAAAAAAAAAATTACATAAAAATGATAGTAAATTAGATTTGGAAGAATTAGGGAAAAACATACATACTAAGGCTAAATAAATAGGGGAGCTCTGGTAGCGTAGTGCCTAAGGCACTTGACTGCTAACCAGAAGGCCAGCAGTTCAAACCTACCAGCCACTTCTTGGAAGGAAGATGGGGCAATCTACTTCCGTAGTGATACTACCTCAGAAACCCAAGGAGGGGTCACTATGAGTCAGGTCTGACTGGAAGGCACATAGCAACAACAAGGCTAAATAGAGTATCTTCCAAAAACCAAAAACCAAACTCACTGCCGTTGAGTCGATTTCAACACATAGCGACCCCTCCTTGGGTTCCCGAGGAAGTATCACTATGGAAGTAGATTGCCCACTCTTCCTTCAGAGCAGTGGTGGGTGGGTTAGAACCGACAGCCTTCTGGTTAGTAGTCAAGTGCCTTAGGCACTACGCCACCAGAGCTCCCAGAGTATCTTCCAGAAATCCAAAAATTTTGTAATTATAAGTAATATAAGTAATTATATAATACATCAAATGAAGAAGAAAGTGATTATTCTAATAGAGTGTCAAAATTCCACGCAGATTCTTGAATTTTTAAAAAAAAATCTCTTTAAAGTAGAAGTTGTTACAACAACCCCCTGCACTTCAACTTCCAGTCCTTCTCAACTGATGGCTCTTTAAGGGGATGGGTTCAGCTTTGTTTCATTTGCTGCCATTATTTAATGCAATTGCTTCTCAAGTGGGATCAGAACTCTCAGCCTGATCACATTTCTCCTCCAAAAGCATTACTTCTCTCCATTATTCCCTGTCATTGTTATATATATCAAGCTTTGTAAGCTTGGTCCACTTGCATGATATTATACCTGGTCTTTGGATTTTTTCAGGCACAAATAGACACCAAGTGCCTCACTGACATCTAGAGCAATGCACAGTCTACCAAATTCCTTCAGCTTGTACCCTCAGGAGCACAGTCCAGGATCACTTCCCTTATGTGGTCATGTGTTGGTTTGGCCACTCAAATCTCCATCCTAAACCTGACATCTACCTTTCTCATTTCTCTTTTCTAAGCTTCTTAACAGCTAGATACTGAATATTCCCTTGAAAGAAAAACTGATGAATACATATTCCTTTCTCATGATATTCTAGAAGCATCTACATACACAGTATGTTTTCCTTCCATGGATAATCATGCATACAACATTAGCAAAGCTGACATGATTGCCATGTTTTGGTAAAAAGACATTTATTATTATTATATTAATATTTATTTCTCTTTATCTTCCAAACTTTACTATTAAGTTCTAGAAGCAATTGCAAAAACTGGCAGTATTGCCCATGACAGAGAGCTACTTCCCTAAAATTATACAGAATATCCATTGAAAGCCAACAGCCAGCAAATATTTAATAGCGAAGCATTAGAGACATTCTTATGAACAAGATAAGAATGGCTACTATTACCACATTTATGTAATCTCATTTAGGAAGTCGTAATCGATGCAATAAACACACAAAACTACGGGGTAAAGAGCTACTAAAAAGGAAAATTATATTGCTTCTTTGCAAGTGATATGTCTGCTTAGAAGACCCAAAAGAGTAAACTGAAATTAAAGTTAATAAGAGAATCAATAACTGGTCAGACACAAAATAAATATTCAAAGTGTTTGCCCATATATTAAACGATAATCATTTCAAAAATATAATACAAAAAAATATTCCATTCAATATAGTAATTAAAGGTATAATGAAATTAGGAGCACCTCTCAGGAGAAATGTAGAAGATACACTAAAAAACAAAACAAAACAAAACAAAAAAACCCTTCTAAAGACTTAAAAGAAGAGCAAAATAAATTGAGACTTTTAATTCATTGAAGATTGAAATTCAACCCAAATTAGTATGTAAATTTTGAAAAAGTACATCCATTTTCATCTCATTTTTTAAAATCTTAAAGTTCTTTCAGGAAGGTAACTAAGAATATTTTTTAAAATGATTAACAAAGGGCAATTTTACTTATTATATTTTAAACTATACTATAAAACTACATTAATTAAAATGGCATTTATCATTTGTCATTGTCATTAGTCATTGTCATTTGTCATTGTCATTTTCATTTTCTGGTAGCACAGTGCCTAAGGACTTGACTGCTAACCAGAACGTTTAGCAGTTCAAAGCCACCAGGCCACTCCTCAGAAGGAAGATGGAGCAATCTACTTCCGTAGTGATACTGCCTCGGAAACCCAAGGAGGGGTCGCAATGAGTAGGGTCCAACTCGATGGCACATAACAAAAACAACAACAACAAACTCAAAACCAGTAGAATTATAAATCAATTAAGAAAGAACTTCTTAAGTCAGCAGGACAATCTGGAGCTATGTGGGGAGAAAATAAAAAGAGTGTCTTCCAACTGGATAAACATGCTAAATAGAAAAAAAAAAAAAAAAACCTAGAAGAGTTTTAATAAAATTGGATCATTACATGGTAAAGTTCTTTCTATGCATTTAAGTACTGGAGGAAGACAGAAAATGTAACAAAAGAAGGTTAAATTTGGCTACAAACGACTAATATTTTGTTGCAGACAAATCAAACAAACTAAATAAAAAGGTAAACAACAAATAGAAAAAATATATGTTGGTAAAAATAAAAAAGCGAACATTGAAAAGCTTAAAGCTTAATATTCTAAATCATAAAGAACTTTTACAAATTAGGAAGTAATAACAACTCAATAGAAAAATAGGCACAAGAGGAGAACAAATAATTTACAAAGGAAGGAATAATAATAGCCAATAAACATATAAGAAATATTCTGATGTACTAATAGTCAAAGAGACCAAATTAGACAATAATGAGAATCATTTTTTACCTCATCAGTGGCATGAGAACTCTCACAGGTGGTTGTCAGAAGTATAAATAGGCCTAACTTTTCTGGAGAGCATTTTGCTGACACATCTCAAATCTCTAGAATTTTTTCTTTTGACCAAGTAATTTCATGGTCATTCCAAGCTCAAATGATCAAATGAGCTGTATTATCAGGCTTTAAAATATTCAAACTTTTGGATCTGATAATTCCACTCTAGGAATACATCACACTTAAAACTACAGTCACAATTTTATATGAAATTTCATTTATTCATTGAAGTGTTACTTTAGTACTGACAAGTTGGGAAACTACATTAAATAAATTAAGCTAAATTTATATTGCAGTGCTAAAGAGATACTATAAATTTATTAGAACCTTGTTTTGAAAGAGTATTAAGTAGTATACTAAAATTTTAATATACTAATATACTAAGTTGGTAAATAGGAGGAAATAACTATATTGGCAATGTCATTTTGATACATGGAGAGAGAAGGAAATACTTCAACATGTTCAAAGTAGTTTATTTTTAATGGTGGGACATGATTTATTTATTTTCTTTTATTCTTTATATTTTTTTACCATTCTCCAAATTCTCTATAGTGTTCACGTATTGGTTATATTCTTAAAAAAAAAAAAAAGTATAATTAAATAATAAGATGTGGAGAAAAGGTATTCCATTTATAATAGCAACATAACCTATGAAAATAAAACACAAAGAAAATTTCACTATACCTATGAGTTGTAATCACCTCGATAGCAGTGGTATGAACATACAAGAACTATGCAAAAACTGTAGGAACTATACTAACAAGAAGGAGGAGGGGAAAAAAAAAAAGTCAGCAAGGTGTTAGAGGACAGCACTAGAGGACTCCTGATATTCCAGGAATGAGGAGCATGGATTAAGATGCGACTGAGGACTCTAATCCTTATTAAATCTAACAGCACCCATAAACCAGATTTAGCTTTTCCTCTAAATCCTGGTACCATCCTGGGAGCCTCTCAGATATTTTCTGGCACACAGAAATGACACTGATGAGAACTTGATAAATTTGCTGTCTGAAGGTGATGTACTTGTTTCTTGACCTCTGAAAGGCAATTTTAGACAAGGCCATCTGCCAGAAGCTGAGCAGAGTCTAACCTTTTGAAATGCTTTTATTACCTAAATATCTAACCTTCATTTATTTTCAGGTGTTCAGGAGCTTTTACTGGTAAAAGCGTAACAAAGAAATGTCAGGGAGGCAGCTGCATCACCAAAGCCTGCAGACCAGACAGAGTAACAGGGCAATACGAAAAAGAATGCCAGTTCGTGCTTGATAAAGTGCAGACTGAGAAAGCTTCCATAATGTTTGCACAAAGTGTTGATTCTGTAAGTACCTTGTTCTTTATTTCCCAAGATCCTTGTGAATTTAGTAAGGTTTTTGCCCCAGTGCTCTGAGAGAGGATCACAATTTAGGGAAACTAAAGTAAAGGGTCAATGAAAAACGGGAAGACCCTCAACAAGATGGATTGACACAGTGGCTGCAAGATGGACTCAATCACTGCAAGAATTGTGAGGATGGTGCACTACCGGGCAGCGTTTCTTTCTGTTGTGCAGGGTGTAGCTTGAGTTGGAGCCTTCTCTAGGGCACCTAACAACAACAACAATAAATCAGGGAGCAGCTGATTGTCTGTGAGATAAGCTGGGATGGAAAACTAGGGATAAAGTCCTATCTCCATCTTCTCCCTCCCACTAGCTTTTAGCTGTAAAGTATTTAGAATTATTTTGAATATCTCTAAAGGTATACAAGAAGCTCTGGTAGCATAGTGGCTAAGACACTTGCCTGCTAACCAGACGGCTGGAGGTTCAAACCCACCAGCCACTCCTCGGAAGGAAGGTTGGGCAATCCTACTTCCGTAGTGATACTGCCTCGGAAACCCAAGGAGGGGTCGCTATGAGTCGGGTTTGACTCGACGGCACATAACAACAACAGCAACAACAAAGGTATACAAGCACAAAAATTCTTAGTTGAAAAGAAATTCACCAAAGGTTTAGATAGTTCTTTTTATTTTTTATTAGAACTATAAATAAAGACATGATCAGTAACCCATAATTTAACTTCCAGAAAGCTCTTTACAACCTACATATTTGTTTTCAGTTGTTAATTGAAATGTTCTGACTTTTTTTAAGAGTATTGGTGTCCTTAGGTAATTTGTACATAATTATAATAGCTTTAAATAACTTTTAATGGTTTTGTGTGTGACCAACTGATCCTAAAGTGAGTTTGTCCTAATTAGCCATGTTAATGCTAAATACATATACCTCAGCAAATTTGCACAAAGATTTGAACTATCCATTAACTGACTATAATGCGGAGTACCTGTTCTCTTCCAGTTTCTTTACATAGAATAATGCTTTCCTTTTGGAATGGATGAAATAACCTACAAAAGTCATCCTCATTTTACAGATAAGAAAGTTGAGGTGATAGGTTAAGTTTATTCAAAAAGACATTGTTATTATGTGTCAAACATTGGACTAAGTTTTGAGGAAGCAAAATTTTAAGGGAAAGGTTATGCAATAGTTGGCTTTACAGCCCAATGAACACACAATAAATAAATAAATTCAGTGGGTATTCCGTCCATTCCTGGACCCTTGTTTTTCACCAATTCCTTCAGTGCAGCTTGGACTTCTTCCTTTAGTACCACTGATTGTTGATCATATGCCACCTCCTGAAATAGATGAACATTGACCAATTCTTCATGATATAGTGATTCTGTGTATTCCTTCCATCTTCTTTTGATGTTTCCTGCATCATTCACTATTTTGCCAATAGAATCATTCAATATTTCAACTTGAGGCTTAAATCTTTTCTTCAGTTCTTTCAGTTTGAGAAATGCTGAGCATATTCTTTCCTTTTGGTTTTCTAACTCCAGGTCTTTTTACATTTTCTTACACTAATTTACCTTGTCTTCTTGAGCTGGTCTTTGTGATCTTCTATTCAGCTCTTTTATCTTGTCATTTCTTCCATTTGCTTTAGCTACTCTCCATTTAAGAACAAGTTTCAGAGTCTCTTCTGACATCCATTTTGATCTTTTCTTCCTTCCTTGTCTTTTTAGTGACCTTTTGCTTTCTTCTTGGATGATGTTCTTGAAATCATCCCACAATTCTTCGGGTTTTTGGTCATTGGTGTTCAATGCATCAATTCTGTTCTTCAGATAGCCTCTAATTTCAGGTGGGAATATAATCAAGGTCATATTTTGGCTCTCATGGACTCATTTTAATTTTCTTCAGCCTCAACTTGAACTTGCTTATGAGCAATTGACAGTCTGTTCCACAGTCAGCTCCTGGCCTTGTTTTGATTGAAGATATTGAGCTTCTACACCGCCTCTTTCCACAGATGTAGTCAATCTTATTTCTGTGTATTTCATCTGGTGAGGTTCACATGTATAGCCACTGTTTATGTTGTTGAAAAAAGGTATTTGCAACAAATAAGTCATTGGTCTTGCAAAATTCCATCATGTGATCTCTGGCATCATGTCTATCATCAAGGTCATATTTTCCAACTACTGATGATACTTCTTTGTTTCTATCTTTTGAATTCCAGTCACCAATAATCATCAGTACATCTCAATTGCATGTTTGGTCAATTTCAGACTGCAGAAGTTAGCAAAAATCTTCAATTTCTTCATCTTTGGTTTTAGTGGTTGGTGCATAAATCCAAATAATAGTATTACTGGTCTTCCTTGTATGCATGTGAATATAATCCTATCACTGACAGCATTGTACTTCAGGATAGATCTTGAAACATTCTTTGTGATGATGAATGTGATACTATTTGTTTTCAATTTGTCATTTCCAGCATAGTGGATCATGTGGTTGTCTGTTTCAAAATGGCCAATACTAGTCTACTTCAGCTCCCGAATGCCTTGGATATCAAACTTTATGTGTTCCATTTCATTTTTGACAATGTCCAATTTTCCTAGATTCATACTTTGTACAGTCCATGTTCCAATTATTAATGGATGTTTGCAGCTGCTTCCTCCCATTTTGAGTCAAGGCCCATCAGCAAAGGAAGTTCCTGAAAGCTTTACTCCATTCACATCATTAAGGTCGACTCTACTTTGTGGAGGCAGTTCTTCCCCAGTCATATTTTGCATGCCTTCCAGCCTGAGGGTCTCATCTTCCAGCACAATATCAGACAATTTTTCGGGGCTGTTCCTCAAGTTTCCCAATAATATGTCAGACAGTGTTTCACTGCTATTCATAAGGTTTTCACTGGCCAATTATTTGAGAAATGAATGGCTCTTTCCTTCTTCCCAGTCTTAGTCTGGAAGCCCCACTGAAACCTGTTCACCATGGATGACCCTACTGGTATTTGAAATACTGGTGGCTTAGCCTCCAGCCTCATAGCAATGTGCAAGCCACCACATTATGACAAACTGACAGATGAGTGGTGGGAGAAGTCATATAGAGACATTAATAGTGTGAGGGAGAAATTGGGAGGGATTGAATAATGGAGATTCTACTGGAGAAGGAGGAAGATGATGGAGTGGAGAGATGGTGAAATGTATTAAAGTTGGTTATTTTGTAGGGAAGTATAAGGGGGAAGCTTTAGATTACTGTGTGAAGGGCAGTGCCATTTATCAACCTAGGAAATACATGAGGAGAAGGAACAGAGTTGGAGAAAAGTGGTAAGTTCAATTATGAACACGTGCAGTTTGAAGTGACTATGGGACATCTGAGTAGAATTTGGAGAGAGGTGGAATGTTGAGCATATTAGGTTGGAATACAGGGGTTTGGTAAGTGACTGGGAAGTGAGGAAGTGGAGTTTGGTGGTGAAAAATGGAGAGATAAGATGGTACCAAGATAGGAATACTGGAATGTGGATGGCTTGAAGATAGTCATGGTAGTAAGAAATAGCAAATTTAAGAGGAGAAAAGAAGCCATCCACCAGAGGTAAATGGATTTCTGAGGAGCACTAAGAGTCTAGTGAGGCTGAAGAATGGTTTTGACTGGAACTCTGTGAGTTATGACTCTATGATTTTCCCCAGCAGTGCTCTGTAGTCTCAGTTGAGTCGAGGTTATGGGCAGACTGGGGAGAAGGGCAAGGAGGGTAAAATATTTTAAATGTGGGTTTAAAATATTTTGAAATCAAATTAGTAAAGATTTTAGCTACTGTTACTATAATCTCTGCATTTTACTAACAATTTCAGGTGGTCAAATTCTGTACAGAACAAAACCATAATAAAGAAGCCCCAAATATGCAAAACCAAAGGTGCAATCTCCGAAGCACATGGGAAGTGATCCGTGATTCTGAGGACTTTAAGACAACCACTCCTATGAATACACAGCCTCCCAAGCCAACCTTCTCATTACTGCAGATTGGACAAAGAATTGTCTGTTTAGTACTAGATAAGTCTGGAAGCATGGCGGTACGTTCAATGAGTCTCATTCTTCTCAACACTATTCAAAGATAATTTACAATATCACAGACCAGAACTTGGAGCTCACTGGGAATAAACACAACCCCAAGGGTCAGAACATTTATAATAACACTATCATCAGAAACATACATCTCAACTTTATTAAACAAAGATTCAGCATCAATTTTTTCATTTGCCAATTAAATTAATTTTCAGTGTATGAGAAAAGATCTAATGAATCACAGAAATTTATATGTTTTATGTTGTATTGACAACATATACATATATATGTATATATTTATATATACATACACACACACACACACACACACACATATATATATATATATGTATGTATGTATGTATGTTCTGGTTACGTAATGATGCTCTGACAAGAATATACCACAAATGGGATGGCCTTAACAAACAGGAGTTTATTCTCTTACAGTTTGGAGGCTTTAAGTCCAAGTTCAAAGTGCCAGGCTCTAGGGGCTATGTGAAAGCCCCTAGAACTTGGGCTTCAGCTCTGCCTCTTGCTCCTGGCCCACTGAAGCTAGAGGCATCTCTTCACTTGGGCAGCTACTGGCTGGTGAGGCTAACAAGCCCAAGGTCGACAAATAAAAAGGCACAGTCCCGGTGTTACCAAACCACACAGCAAGCCATTAATTCAAGTCCATTGTAAGTCCCAAGGTTGGCAGAACATGGCAGGCTGCTGAATGACACAGCTGCCCACAGGGTCCAAGTGCGCCATAAGCTTGAGACCATCCCCAAGGCTTTTCCTTATATACAGGAAGCAGATCACATTCCATAAGGCAGCTACTCAGCTGCTCAGTAGATTCCACCATTGAGTTGATTACCAGTCTCATCATGAGGAATACTACATCCAGCTGCCCAGCCACTCAACCAGGCCCAGCCAAGTTGACACACAAACTGAACTACCACAATAGATACACACACATATATATATACATATATATTATATATGTATGTATGTATGTATACATAGGTTTATGGGACAATTAGGCACAAATAGTTAAGCACTTGGCTACCAACCAAAAGGTTGGCAGCTCAAATCCACCCAGAGGCTCCTTGGAAGAAAGGCCTGGTGATCTAATTCTGAAAGATTACAGTCATTGAAAACCCTATGCACAATTCTACTCTGAAACACACGGGCTCAGCGTGAGTTAGAATCAACTTGACAGTTAAAAAAAAAAAAAAAGGAGCTTAAAAAGCATTGTGCTAATGGTTGCTTAATTTGTCTTTGTCTTTTGCTATTGGTACAAAGGTTCTAAAATTCTACACAAAGGTGCTGCTACATATAAAAGAGAAATATTTCCTCATAGAAGGATATGCATCAAGTAAACATTTTGTCTTTACAATTAAGGCAGCCACTTTCAACTTCCGTCTAGCCTATCCTATTGTTAGTCTGGCCATCTAAAACCAATCTATTTTTCTTATGTTTCTCCATCCAGACTGGTGGTCGCCTCAATCGACTGAATCAAGCAGGCAAACTTTTCCTGCTGCAGACAGTTGAGCAGGGATCATGGGTTGGGATGGTGGCATTTGACAGTGCTGGCTATGTAAGAAGTGAACTCTTGCAAATACACAGCAGCACTGACAGAAATGTGCTCATCAAAAGTTTACCCACAGCAGCTTCAGGAGGCACATCCATCTGCTCTGGGCTCCAATCAGCATCTAAGGTAAGAAGTGTGCCAATGGTCACAATTTGTCCTGAGGAATTTTCATTTCTAGTGTTCTCATATATAGAGAGTGCCTAATGTCAAAATTATTAGTCAAAATATGTATCCAGAAGGAGCAAGGCAATGAATGGTTCAAATGATGTAAAAGTACATACAGGTCCTGTCCCTTGGTCAGACCAAGGCCAGGACCACAGCTGACAGACTCTTAGGCTTCTTTACATGCCAGTAGTCACAGTGCTGCTTTCTTCTCACATCAACAAAGGCCATCCATGTGGCAGCCTCATCTCAGAGTCCAAACAGGGAGTAAGGTAGGAGCCTCCTCTGTTCGCAGTTTTCCTATCAAACTATTTCACACCTCCTTTTTCTGAGATTCTGGTCCAGAGAAGGGAGGTTACATGTTCTTGATTGCTTGTGTCCCCTCCCCCTGTGTCTATCCTTTTCATTCTTTCTTGGAGGCTAGAAGGAATGGACTTCATCTTCCTCTTAAGCAGATAATACTATTCTTTCATTGAATTCTTCTCTCTACAGTAGAAGCACTATAACCTTATCCAATACTGGCAGAAGGAGTATTGTCTCTTCACCATGTAAAACACTATAACCTAAGTCAACCAGGAATAACTCAGATATAAGTGTCAGAGGGTAACTAGGAACTGGGGAAACAAAAACGTGTTTCCTTAATCAGTGAGATATTGATACTTTAAACAACTCATGTGGCATGAGCACTGAGTCATCAGAAGCAATGCTCATCATCGACAACTAGGATGGTCACACTGATATTAACCATACAAAGTAAAACCTGCCCTGGGTCTAATATTCCCACTCAATAGGATGGCTTATAAAGGCATCTGGGAACCTCTGAAAGTCTGACAAGGAGAGGTTCATTAAAAAAACTAGGAAAAAAAACCTTCTTTGGTCTTCCTCAGTTCTATACAACCTTAGAACTGCCCTGAATCTGGATTACCAACAGAAAGCCCATTGTCAAGTTCCATTAGTGCTGTTGCTTTAAAAGTATATCATGTCAAAACAGATATGTTGCTTTTCCTGGAACTTTTCATTTATTCCTCTGGTTATCTCTTCCGGGACATTGTGAGTAAAATTTTCACAAACACCTTGGTCACCCTTAGTCTGATAACTCATGCCCTGAATTATGTCCTTAGGTGATTAAAAAAAAATATCCAACAGATGGATCTGAAATTGTGCTGCTGACCGATGGGGAGGACAACACTATAAGCGGGTGTTTCAATGAGGTGAAACAAAGCGGAGCCATCATTCACACGGTTGCCCTGGGGCCTTCCGCTGCTGCAGAACTCGAGGAGCTTTCCAAAATGACAGGTGAAGGAGATATGCTCAATTCCATTATATTGTCTCTTGACTGGACTGTAAGTTCCAGAGTCTGGAAATGGGAGTAGAGATGGGTTTGGGAGAGAGGAGGTAATATGATTGACAACTTGTTGTCTTTATTCCCAAATGACCATCAGAAATGACTCCATTTTTTTTTTTTTTTAAAGCCTTAGTTCTGGGACTAAGGGAGTCTGGAGAAAATAAGACTAGTACATCAGCCCAGTGAGGACTCAGACTCTCTTCCCAGGCACTTTATAAGGACTGGAGAGGGGGAAGGATCTAAAAGGTTAACCAGAAACTTCCAGTCAGCAGCTGACCAGTAGACCCAGGAGAGACAGATGACAAGCTGCTAACTAAATAATATGATGATGAAAGTATGCTATTAGCAATAGAAAGTACAATGCACCACAAATAAAGGAATCTCGCTTTACCTGGAAAGGGAGAACAGTACATGACAATAACATCTGAGTTGGGCCTTTAAGGAGAAGTAGTAGGGGAAAGGCAAAGGGCATAAGGAGCAATCCAGTGTGCCCATGGGATGGGGCAGGCAAAAGATGAGGTAATGAGGTAGTTAGGGGGTGGCAGAAGGTCACTCTGAAAATGTAAAATACAATGCAATTTCTCCTTCAAACATTAACTTATTATGTGCTTATAGCTTTCATATACAATTTTATAGTAAGATAGATCTCATATCAATTATGCTGAACTACCTTCTGAAGCAGCTAAAATGACAATACTGTTTACTGCTAGCACTACCTATTTTAGGCTGGGTTTCTTAGTAGTGGAGCTTGAGAGAGAGATTCAAGGGCACGTGATTTATGGAGAAAGCACTCTCAGGAGAAAGTGGGGAAGGAGAGCAGGATAGGGTAGGGGAAGTTGCAAGGACATGAACTTAGAGTCTAGCTAATGTCTGATACCACAGGGGTTCTGGATCTAGAATTACATCACAGACTCTGTCCCACTTTGAAGCAACTGAGCTAGGCTTTTGGACCCCTGTGTCCATCCATCAGTCACTGTCCGTGGACTGTCAGGACGGGAGTGGGATGAGGAAAATTCTCCTCAACCTAATTAGGGCAGGCCCCTTTTGGTAAAGTAGTCTCTGAGAAAAGAAGCAGGTATAGGTTGTTAGCAGTCAACAGTTACAGCGTTGGGGATAGACACACCTGCCAGATAGAGGATGTGGGTGGGAATCAACAGCATTATTGTAATACATTCCTTATCTCTGGGTAGCTTTTCATAGGTTAAAAGTGCTTTCATAGTTTAAACGCAGATAGTTCTATCTATCTTAAATTGCCCCAGATTTCCAGGTGTTTTATAATTTCCTCATTACTGTGTATTATAGTTTTCTATAACTGTTCCATTATCAGCTGTAGATGTTGTAACATCATGTTTGTAAGGCTCTCATCCCTTCTAGTTTGCTGCTTCTGATTTTGCAGAAAACTCAAAAGCCAGTCTTGTTAGAATTGTGTCTTAAATAAAAGAGTATCAATAGGCTTAGAATCAGACAATGAATTCTTTCATATGAAAGTGTATGACATTGAAAACATGATTTTATGATATTAATTTTGGCTTATAAGAGATTCGTGGCTGCTTTGCAGATAGTGGAAGCAGCTAGAAAACTTGAGATGTAGCTGTTATTTACTAGGATTTAAATATTTGCATCAATTTCTGAGTTAATCTGGTACCTATTTGACTTTTACCTATTACTACTTCACTAATACAATGGAACGTTTACTTTCTATATTCTCCTATTTTAATAAAAGAGAAAAATTTTCAAATATTTGCTTTCTAGAAAATAACTTCTGATAATGTAATTGCATTTTAGGAGGTTTACAGACATATGCTTCAGATCAAGCTCAGAACAATGGTCTCATTGATGCTTTCGGGGCTCTTTCATCAGGAAATGGAGCTCTCTCCCAACGCTCCATCCAGGTTCGAGTTCTTACTCTTTGGTTTTTCATGTTTATACATAATCACAGCCAAGATGGTGAATTTAATGGTAAGAAGTCTTAAGATTTCCAAGGCTGTTTACAAAAGCAGATTGCTTCATCTTTCTTTTGTGGAGGGGCTTGTGGATTCAAACCACTAATCCTCTAGTTAGCAGCTGAGTGCTTTAATCACTACACCACTACAACTCCTTTTCCAGTAGTAAATAAAATTAAAATAGAAGGTTCAGCCTGATATTAGAGATTATTCTTAAACTTCAACACTGATCACTTAACCAAGGAAATTGGTTACAAGTGTTTACCTGTGTGGAAACAATACAAAGAGACTTCCTCATAGAAATCAGCAACATAAAATATAGTGACTACAGAATTCTTTTTTAACATCTGTTAGTAAACACCCATAGAAATATAATTGGCTCAGGATTTTTTTCAGAGTAGATCATCTCAATAGAATTTTTCTGGGGCGTGTGTTCAGGGAATACTTGCTCTGTTTTTCCATTACCTCAAACCCTTGATGTTTGCCATGATTTTCACATAATGGATTGAAAGTGCTTTGCATTGTGAACAGCCAACTGTAAGTCCAGACATCCAGATCTTCGTCCAAGGTCTGCCATTAACTTTTTGACCTTGGGCAAAAGATATAATGTCTCTGGACCTCAATTTCTCAGCCAGATAAGAACCAGAAACTTCCTACTGGTTCTAAAATTCCAAGAAAACCAAACTGTCTTTAAAAATCTGGGGACTATTAAAAAAAGACAAATGTATTTTCAAATACTCTTTTAATAGTTTCTTTAATTGCAGAAATTATTCATATAAATTTGAAACCAGAACAAGTGAACAAACAGCACTTAACCTGTGTGATTTGTACCTTTTATAAAAGTTTGGTTAAACATAAAGGAATACTATAATACCAAAGCCTAATAGTGGCATATTTCAAAATTATAGGCTTTCTAGTCTAGTGATGTAACAGTTATTCACTCTAGGAAAGAAGCAATTATATTCATCCTAGCTCAGATTTAGAAAATTCAATGCAAGGGCCTGCTTGGAAAATGGGAAGAAATTTCCTTACAAAAGTAATCAAACTGATGAAAGTAGAAGTTTACAGTCAGGCGGTTCCTGTCCATTATTTTCATGTTTGAGAACTCTAACAGAGAGAGAGTCAGAGAAATGATCAGGATTCATATACTAATCTGCCACAAGAACCCTGCAAAAAAAGCGCATGGAAGCGGTACCTTCTGACTTCCTCTAACTTCACAAGAGGAAGACAGAATCACCATCAGAAGCCCAAGGCTTATTCCTATGAGGCCAGACATGCTCCCACCCTCCACCCTTTTTACCAACTTTGACACCAACCATCCCTCTCACGGTACTCACTACTTCTCTGCTGGGTTTGATAATTTGTTGCAATGGCCACACAGAACTCATAGACAATACTCATGATTATGGGGTTTATTAGGGAAGTAACAGGCTACAATTCAGGTTCAGGAACGTGCTCAGGATACAGTTCTTTGACCAGGACACTCTCCCCTCTGCTATGCCCTCAGATACACCTCTCTGGCCCTTGGCCTCTTGGCATGGCCTTGGCCTCTGCCTCTGCAGGCCAGGTAAGCCTGCTGCTTTGTCTCATGCCTCTTGGTTCTACTGTGACTGTCTCTCTGCTGGGGCATCTCTCTGCTTGGGTATCTCTCAGACAGGGAGGTTTAGCACAGGCATCTTGGGTCCAAGGATGTGTTCCACTTCACCTCCAGGTCTTTTCTATTGATAGAAGTGAGTTCCCCTCTCTGCCTCTAGGAGGGCTCATTTTAAGTCTGGCAAAGTGACAAAACTAATCAGTGCCAACATTAGAGCTCTACACACCTTATTTTCATGGTCCCAACCAGCAATCCAGTAGGAAATACAAAGACTATGGCTAGAAAAGTCATATCAAATAATTCACTGCACTGCAAACTCAAATCTAAAAATTGTTCTCTTTCTCCATATCCAAGACCTTAATCTATCTGTGCAACTGGAAAGTATGGCTTTATGACAAGTCTATCTTATCTCCAAATAGGTACCAAATTAAAGGCAAGAAATACTTATCTAGGAGATAATCCTCAAAACAAGTTTTGTACAACAGCCTTTTTAACACTTTTCCACCTCAATCCCTGGTTTGCAGCTCCTTTATTCTACCCTACCCAACCAATCAGCCTTGGCTAGGGATTTATTGATCTTCATAAAACTACAGTAATACTTGACCTAGCAATTAGTTTTTGTAATTCAAACAACCTGTATGTGGGGAAAAATAAGTCCCAGCTAGTCCCCTTATATGTATATGTATGTATGTATCTATATATATAAAATATATACATATATGTGTATGTGTGTGTGTGTGTGTTGTTGTTGTTGTTGTTATGTGCTGTCAAGTTGGACCCAACTCATAGCGACCCCTCCTTGGGTTTCCAAGGTAGTATCACTATGGAAGTAGATTGCCCAACCTTCCTTCCGAGGAGTGGCTCGTGGGTCTGAACCGCCAGCCTTCTGGTTAGCAGTCAAGTGCCTTAGGCACTATGCTACCAGAGCTTATATATATATATATATATATATATATATTCCAAACCAAACTCATTGCCGTAGAGTCATATCTGACTCATAGTTCATAGCGACCCCTCCTTGGGTTTCCAAGGCAGTATCACTACAGAAGTAGAGTGTCCAACCTTCCTTCTGAGGAGTGGCTGGTGGATTTGAACCACCAGCCTCCTGGTTAGCAGTCAAATGCTTTAGGCACTATACTACCAGCACCTCCTATGTACTCCTATGTATACACACACACACACACACACACACATACACCATACACACACACACACTATATACATAGTATATAGAGTCAGGAATTTGTGAGGATAATTTGGGGAAGTAGTCTGGTTTGGGTGTTAAGGCTGGAAAAGGTAATTTAGAATTATATCATGAAAGGTTCTAAATACCAAGACAAGGAAAAGACTTTTAATGGGACAATTGGGTGTCAGTGAAGAATGAAAAAGACTCATGCGATGGGAACTGCACTTTCCAGAGAGTAAATAGTTGTTTTCTTAATAGCTTGAAAGTAGAGGATTGACTCTCCAGAACAGTGAATGGATGAATGGCACAGTGATTGTGGACAGCACCATAGGAAATGACACTTTGTTTCTCATCACCTGGACAACACAACCGCCCCAAATCCTTCTCTGGGATCCCAGTGGAAAGAAACAAGATGGCTTTTTGGTGGATGCACAATCCAAAACGGCTTACCTCCAAATCCCAGGCACTGCCAAGGTATGAAATCAGTTTTCTTTCCTTCTTAGAATTTGACAAGATAAAAGAACTTTTTTTTGTAGAATTATTGTAGCTTTTAAACTCTTGCTAGTTGCTAAGAGAAGATAAAGTATTAAATCAAAGAGAGGTAAAGGAAATATCTCCATCCAATGGAAATAATTCAGTATGACAGCAAATCAAGAGAAATGAAATTGGTGGCATTTGTGCAGGTAGTAAAGGGAAAACCTTCAAATTACATAGCAGTCAAGATGCAAAATAATTCCTGAAACATTGGGGTCATGAAAACCATTTCCTCTACTCAAGAATCCATGAATTTGTTCCTATTCTTGAGAAACCAAGGCTTGACATAAGGACCATGCAGTAAATCTGACCACATTAAAGTCTCCCTTGACTGACAGAGTATCAGAGTTGCCCAAATCTTCCTACATATGCTTACAATGTGCTTGCATCAGATAGGCTTTTTCTATAGGTGACACTGAAGAAAGGTATATGAAACGTACAATTATTAACTGAAAATATCTCCTTTTGTTTTGGTCAGGTTGGCATTTGGAATTACAGTCTGCAAGCAAGTTCACAAACCTTAACTCTGACTGTCACTTCCCGCCCATCAAGTGCTACTGTGCCTCCAATTACAGTGACCTCCAAAATGAACAAAGACACAGGCAAATTCCCCAGTCCTATGAGAGTTTATGCAAATATCCGCCAAGGAGGCACACCGATTCTCGGGGCCAGTGTCACAGCCTTGATTGAATCAACGAATGGAAAAACAGTAACCTTGGAATTATTAGACAATGGAGCAGGTAACCACCCCCAAAACTGGATAACACACCTTTCTTTTCCAAGAAGCAACCAGGAAACTACAGGAAAGCATGGCCTGATGAGGGCAGTTAGAAACAGGGAACCCAGCATTAGGGATTGGGATGAGAGAGTTCTCTGCTTCCCCACAATTCTTATATTTCAAAATGTTGGAAAACACGAAGGACTATCTTTAGTGTCATCAAAGCTCAAAATGCATTAAAGGCTCAAGTCTTTTAGACTCAGAGACTCTAAGGAGTTTCCAGAGGGTATTCCACAACCAAAAAAGAAGGAAGGAAAATTAATAGTTATCCTGTGTTAGGTGCTTGTGTGTGTGTGTATTTCTATCTCGTATTCACCAAACCCTTATTATTTTATTGTAATTTGTGTGAAAGTTTACACAACAATCCATAGACATTGTGTTTTCCAATCAACAATCCATAAACGTTCTGTTTTGTGATATTGAGTGTAATCACCACAATTCAACAGCACTTTCCACTTCCTCCTGTACCTACCATATCCCTTCATCTTTCCTTCCCATTGCCTCCCAGCTTCCTAGGTCTACCCCTGGGCAAATACTGCTCTCTTCATCTCCTATAGCAGACTGTTCTAATGAGTGTGTTCCATGTGTATTCCTCCTGGTATCATTGTCCACATTATAGCCCTGTTGATCATTTGACTTAAAGTTGAGCCACAGTGGTTGAGTTCAGTTCCTGGCATGAAGAGTGCCTAAGGGCCACAATCTCATAGGTTCCACCAATCTCATCAGATTAGTAAACCTAGTCTTTTTTTATGATTTTGAGTTTTGTACCACAGTTTTCTCCCACACTATCCTGGAACCTCCTATTGTGATCCCTTTCAGAATGGTCAGCAGTAGTAGCCAGGAACCATCTAGTTCTTCTGGTCTCAGGGTTGTGGAGGCTAGGGTTCCCAAGGTCCATTAGTCCTTTAGACTAATTGTTTCCTTGCATCTTTGATTTTATTCACTCTTCTTTGCTCTACAAGTGGAGAAACCAATAGTTGTGTCTTAGATGGCTGCTCACAACCTTTTAAGACCCAGTTGTTAATCACCAAAGTAGGATGTAGAATATTGTCTTTGTTTCACCACATACTTTTAAGGTTTTATTATTCTGACTTTCTTATTGTTAAGTGCAATTGAGTCAGTTACAACTCAGGTACAGAAGAATTAACCACTGCCTATCCTGTGATGTCAATGATCACAATGTGATCAAAATGTTTGCTATGCTTGAGCCTATTGTTGCAACCACTGTGCCAGTCCATCTCATTGAGGGTCTTCCTCTTTTTCATTGACTCTCTACTTTACCAAGCATTATATCCTTCCCCAGGGACAGGTCCCTCTTATTTACATATCCAAAATAAGTGAGAGGAAGTCTCACCATCCTTGCTTCTAAGGAGAATTCTGGAAGTCCATAATAAATTCAATATCCTTTGCCAATACCACGATTGAAAGACACCAAGTCTTCTTCAGTCTTTTTTATTCATTGTCCAGCTTTTACAAGCATATGAAGTGACTGAAAATACCATGGCCTGGGTCAGGGGCACCTTAGTCCTCAAAGTGACATATTTGCTTTTGAACATTTTAAAGACATCTTTTGCAGCAGATTTGTCCAAATGCAATGTATCCTTTGATTCTTTTTTTTTTTTTCGATTTGTGTGAAAATTTACACAGCAAATTCACTTTCC